GCTGTTTCCAGAAAAAAACCTTTAGAACTGAGTAGTAGCTCGTAGAAACGAGTCGTATAGGGCCTGGTGCAACTCCTGAAAACATCTTTTTAGATTCCCAGACAGAGAGGCATGAGTCTTCACGCCTCAGTTGGAAACGTCTGTTCAGGCCAACACTTCTTACTCTGCTTGGTGTGTGATGACAGATGCAGGTGTCCAGCCTTGGAGAAACATTTCATTCCATTTCTCTCCACATGCCGTTCTATTTAGACCTCCAACATGATGTTTGGAGGTCTACTGTGACTTACCCCATTCTGGGATTTTACCTCCCCTCTCACTTCATTGCTAACACTGTTGTTTTAGTCCAAAGAATATGCTTTATTTACTCTGAATTGCTTTTACAAGTGTGTGTTTAAGGATGGTTGTCTGTCCTCTTTGTCTTTGTGTTGTCTCATGATGAACTGGTGACCTGTTCAGGGAGCATCCTCCTTTCCCACCCAATAATTTCTGAAGACGGGAACCCGTCCCACTCCAAAAACCCGCAAGGATAAGCAAGTATATGCAAGTATATGCAATGGTTAGACAGGTGGAAGTTACTATTTCCACATGTAATGGGCATTTATTCCCATTATCCAAGAACACTGATCACAAAACCACAATGAAGGATGTGCAAAATGCTAGCATTTGGCCCGTGTCATACAGTCAAGGAATCTCAAAGCAGCCTGTAAAGCCAGGAATGAGTCACTGCCAAATAAAATAAAAATAAAACTGCACGCCTTATTGAAGATTTGGTCCATTGCCTCACACGGCGATCTATTTCTGTTTTCGAACCTGCAGGGCTCTTGAGTAACTTCGTTACAAGAATGAGTAACAGGTTTTTCCTCCTCCAGGTTAACGGTGATAACGAGGTGGCAGTGAGTCAGTAGCGCTTTCCAACAACACACCTTCCCGTCAGAATGGATTCAGTCAATTTAAAGGTCAGTGTCGCCTCATTTTGGGATGTTCCTGCGAAATAAATCCCCCCTTTTTTTGGTTGTTATTGTACTGATACACTCCATGCAGTGAATCCAATTTAAGAAGATTTAGCAGCAGATCTCAGACGAAAACCCCCCTGTAGGGGGGAAGAGTGCCTCTTGACAGACAACACCTCTCCAGGCAGGGGATTGGCTCTCTTTACCTTGGAGTGTGTGAGGGAAGAAACACATGGCTCGCGCTCCGGCGGCGGCCTTGAAAACATTCCACCTGTTTTTCGCAGTGTCGGCTTCCAGCCCGGTGACATATTTACCAGCCAGGCACGCTGAAAAGGAAATCCTCCCTTCGGGCCCCCGAGAGCTGGAATCCTACACCTGGCTTGGTGAGGGCCCCCTCGGCTTCAACGCTCAGTCTGAAAAGGCGACTGAAGCTTCGTGGAATGACAAGAGGTTCATTTAGTCTAGTTTCTAGTGCAAATGTCTAACGTACAAAGAACTTTTCAGCAAGATGTAGGAGTTTCTTTTAACTTGATAATTCATTAATATTGATGAAAAGGTTCTAGTCTCTTTGGCTAACCCTAACCCCGAACCTTATGATGGGAAAAATATCTTCCTACAAGTAAAATTATTGACTTAAAACAAGCTCCTACATCTTGCTGAAAAGTTCATCATAAGCTAGTTGTGTCCCATTTCCAGTGCGCAAAAATATTTGTCCCATTAAAATGCTTTTGGGGTCAACATTAAAATGCAAAAAAATTTTTTGTCTGAACATAACTTATTTTATAAACATATTTGAAATATTGAGAGGCATGTACAGTAGTTTCAATGTACATGCCTCTTTTTAAACGTAAAAGCATTTTAATATGTATATCATATAATAACAAATGCAGGTTTGTAACAGTTTCTTTTCTTGGCAGTATTGGCGTTGAATTCCCCACAAAGAGTGACAGTAAAAAGAACAAAGAATCTGTTTCTCTTGTTATTAGGTTGGAATCTATGTGCTTTATCATTATTATTGTTATTATTATTATTTTACATCTTCATTTCACTCAATTTGATGTTTATCTTTATTTCAAATTGTAAAATAGATATAAAAAAATTACAACAAATTTCTTGAAGTAGATATTTATCTAAATATTTTTCTTTTTTTCTGACATTTGTGGCTCAAAATAGTTTTCTTTTTTGTGACAACATAGCCGCAAAAATGAATATGCTTCAATTTATTTTAGATCATAGACTAAAGAACAAAGAACTGGAAAGTAGTTCTAAAGTGGAAAAAAAAATCCATTATGTTATTTATTATGGATCTTAGTTAATTGGTATTCAGTACCCATTACCCTGATAACTCTTAGTTAAACTCTTAGTCAGTGTGACCAGTGATCTACAGAACTCGCTCGATTAGTGGACGCCTCATGTTTTAACCTGGAACAAAAAAGACAGAAATCTACCGTGTCTGTTTCATTAAAATATTGTGTTACTTTATTAGGTAAAAAAAAAAAAAAATAGACACATACTCATCAAAAGTCTGTGGATCCCCAATTACTTTCATGTTGACATTATTGTCCCCAAACCAACGAGTTTGGACATTCCTGTATTTGGAGGACTCCAACATTGGCTGCAGCTATTCCGGACTGTGACGCTAGATGGTGCCGCAGCACAGCTTTTGACCACGAGAGCGATCCTCAGAACGAGCCTGGACTGTGACGTTGTCAGGACCGAATGTGTTTTCAGCCTCGAACATATGGAGGATCTACGACGGTTCATTAGCTATGCTTATAGGTTTGGAATGTTGCATTTAACCCTTTTTTTTAGTTAAAATGGACTGTTTTTCTTGCTCTAGGTTTTTTGTGTCACCAGAAACAAACCCAGTCATTAAATTTCTCAACAGAAAGATTCGATGTTGGCGGAGGAAATCGGTTTGGTGAACCGATGCTCGGAAGTTATTGTCTAATCGCAAAACTGATGTCACTTACGAACATCTTGTCCTACTTCCTGAGCAGTTAATAAGTGTTTGGGTTGGAGAGCTGAGACACATGTTTACCAGCTTGGCACGCTGGTAAATATGTTTCCAGACGCAGAGGTGAACATCAGGCATCTTGTTCAACCTGTTTTTAAAGTAGGTCAGATTGGCAGAGTTGATAATGGATGACTGAACCGTTCATTTGTTTGACCCAGGGCCGCTGCCAGGAGTCTTGGGCCCCCTGACAAAAAAAAAAAAAAAAAAAAAAGAAATTCTCTTTTGCAACGACTTCGCTGCAGAGTTTTATGCAGGTTTTTCAGATTTTATTTCTGCTCATAAAAGTTATGACCAGCTGCAGGCTCAGGTTTTATGCTGTCAGCAAACATGTATTACCCATAAATTCTCTTTTCCATTCGCATGTATTCACATAGCAACATGCCGAGCTCTTTTTGAACAATTTCTGTGGGGTTTTGCTTTGTTTGTTTTTTTGTTTTTTTTATTTCAGCCCGACGTTGTGGATTAGAGCTTCAGATGTCCCACAGCCTGACAGATGGTCTTAAATGTGCTGGGCAGGAGTTGCGCAATGCATATTTAAAGTGTTACAAAATATCAGCGCCCGAGTTAGAAAATCTGCTTATTTCAGGGGACAGATGTTCAGACAGTTCAGGAAGTAGTTTAGGCCCAGATGAAGAAGTAGCTGGTAGAGCTGTTGGTTTGGAGGAAAAAGCACCCCCCCACACCTCCAAAAAAAGTTAGGGGGCAGCAGAGGGCAGCGTGTTTTCAATGGATTATCTGGCCAATTTTAATTGTTCAGGTCGGAGGGTGGAAAGTGAGCCACTTCTGAGAAAAGGCCGCAGCTGATGCTGTATCCGCTCATCTCCTTTCCCTCCGAGGTGCGTTTATGTAAAGTGACCATAAGATTAAGGCCAGGAGGGGACTATCTGCCTCTTGTTTAGTTCAGTGGATTAGTGGCACTGCTCCAGAGTAACATGAGTGATGCTGTTAACGATGCTTCAGCAACAGAGGAAAGATTCTGACCCCCGCACCCTCCCCTCCAAGTTGGACCCATTGTTTTGATCTGCATTACCTAGTTCTTCTTATAGAGATATGTGTTTTTGTTTCCAGAGATTAGCTCCCTCAGAACAGCTTTTTTCCCTTGAGGACAGTAACAACACACACACACACACACACACACACACACACACACACACACACACACACACACACACACACACACACACACACACACACACTCACACAGTTATAAAAAGGTTGGTTACTGTTTCCAAGACGCTCACAAATCAGCTGAGAGTGTTCTGGCTCAGGCGCTAGAAATAGATCCCTTCTTCTTCTTCTCCTGACCCGGGAGCTTGTTGCCACATTTGGAGAGGATCCAGCTGCAGCACGCTAAATTGATTATCAATTGGCTGGAGCAGAGCTACAAATAATAATAATAATTTAAAAAAATTTAAAAGAAATGCTCTGATCTTCTCGTGATTTGGCTGCTCCGCTTGGGTCCGATTTCACTGACTGACTTTGCTTTTTGTCCCGTGTCGTTTCTCTGTGTGCAGCTTCAGATTTCAACAAGTCACATTTCAGACATTTTAAAGACCGTTCAACATTGAATTAAGGTCAAAACGGAAAAAACTATAGAATGACTGGGGAATCAAGAACAGCAAAAATTGTGACATTTTTGCCATTTGTGCATCTGTTTGTGGTGTTGTGTTAGCTGCCAATTTTAACTATTCAAATCGGAAGCGTTGTGATTTTCACACACACAGCATACCAGCTCATTTAGATGTTGAAATTAACTTGTTTCATTTGGAAAAATACAAAATCCCCACAGCACAATACCACCATCACCATGTCTCATAGTATGTTGGGGCTTTTCCTGATTAGTTGACTGTTCAGGCGATTAAATAAAATGATTCCAAAACTTTCTACTTGACAATCATTTACTGCTTTTAAAATGGTCTATCAGATATACAAAAAAAAAAATAAAAATCACAAGATATTTTTCCCCACATTCAAACAACTAAAAGCTGCATCTTTACCAACTCACAAGTAAAAACCACACACACACACGCAACCTTTGTTAACAACCTTTATTGAAACGCCCTCCGCACAAGAGACAAAAATCTGAGAAGTGTGGATAGTCACTTAACGGCTGCTAACTGTTTAACTAAGAACAAAAATAGAAAGGTAAATCCCTGCACAGTCACAAAAAGAAAAGAAAAAAAAAACCAAACAGCAGAGAAAATGTTCATATTGATAAAAAATAAATCTGATAGACTTCATGTATCAACCTGTAACAGCTTACAGTCGGTGCTCAAATCAGTAGCGGTTAAGAGCAGAGCAGGTGGGAGGGAAAGTGAGGCGCAGGCGGTGCACTTCGGGGGGGGAATGTGGGCCAAGGTAAGCGTTAGCTTGTATTTGGTTAGCATCAATGACAGACAATTCTTTGGTGTTTAGTTGAGACAGAAAATTATGAAAAAATTAAATGAAAATTCTCGGTGGGTTTGCTACAGTGCTTATTTTTTTCGTCCACCCAAAATTTGCATATGTAATCAAGCTTACTTAAAACAGAGGTCTGAATATGCATGGGCTGAGTATATTACATTCTTTTTTAATAAGACTCATTAGTTAATAATAATAATAATAATAATAATAAAAAATTGCACTCTCCTCTTTAGGCACCTGCCATTTTGGTAAAGCTTTAAGGTTCGTCCTGTTGATCGTCGCGTGATGGGTTCAGTCCGAGATGGGATCGTTTGTGAAATTTTAAAAGTAGCAAAACAAAAAAAAAAAAGGAAAGAAAAAGAATAAAATAAATGCTTTCAAAAAGTCAGAGCCAGGGACACGCGCTGGAATGATACCTCGACATATTGCAGAAAGTCAAAAGGAACCGTCAGTGTGTGCTTACATGTTCAATGTAACAGATTATTAAGCAAAGGAAAAAATATATATATATTTATAAATCAACCATACACATTTAAACGCCCTAGCATCATAGCTCGCATCGTGTACAGCACTCAAAGACACACCAAAGTCTCTTAGGAAAAAAAAAATGGTCGAAGCCGTCAGACGAGTGGATATGCTGAAACTTTGCAGCAACTTGTTTATTTCCTCCTTTCGTCCGTGGAGAGAAAATGACCGAAGGTGGAGGTAAGAGGGGGAGGGGGGGGGGGCAAGGCCAAATTAAATGTGACGACTCAGTTCGAGCTGCAGCCCTCCCATCTAATCCAATCTGCGGATGTCTTCAGGGAGAAAAGCAGCGGCATCACAGAGACCCCTCCGCCCGGCGCAGCTGCCGTCAGAGGGAAGGCTGAAGACTGGGAGGCGTGTCGATGTGCGGGGGAGAGGGGGAAGGTGTGGGGGTGGGCGAGGGAGGTGGGGGTCACTCTTCATCCGAGCTGCTGTTGTCCAGAGAGTAAGCCATGAAGGCCAAATCGGGTCGGGCTGGTACCATGGGGTTGCCCGGCTTCACCATCTCGAAGCCCATGTAGTGGAACGTCTTGATGATGACCACTGGAGGGGAAACAGGTTTAGTGTCACCATGGAAATCCCCCACACTAGAAAAACCCACTAAATCTAATGAAAGTTTGTAGAAACGCGTTTCTTTCCCTTCTGCTTCTCGTTTGTGCCAACAGCTGCAAATCGATTATTTTTGATAATTAATCGAAGAAATAAAAGAAATTGGGCACATTCTGCAGAATTTTTGCATAACCACTAAATTTTATTGTATACAATCTAAGAAATACATAAGTTAAAGAAAATCTTTTTTTAAATAATGTTTTTATTATATTACAGCATGTACTAAAAAACTTTTTTTTTTTTAAAGAGTCTGAACGCTTGAGCAAACGATTAATCAATGACTAAATTAGATGGCGGCTATTTCAAAAGTAGATTAACCGTTTCCTCGCTGTGCCTTCCTTTGTGCCGGCCCCTTAAATAAATGCCAACAGTTCTGAAATGACGGGAGCTTCTTACTTCGATCCTCTCTGTTCTTGTGGAACCACAGGAAGACGTAGTTGACCTTCAGTTTCTCCTCGGCGAACTCCAGCAGCGCAGTCAGCCTGGAGACAGAAGCAGATGGAGTTGGAGAGCGAGGAAAAGATGGGCAGTGATGATGCATAAAGTTCTTGCCCTCACCCCCAACACACTCAGTCCCCCCCCATGTATCTTTTCTTTTTACATAAGCGACCCAATTTTACATAACGCAGGGCAGCAGCCAGCAGGATCGGGTTACAGCCACACGTACGGCCAGGAAACACAATGCCACCTGCCAGAAGTCATTTCTGAAACCACTTTCAGAAACCGCTTCCAAAGTATTTTGTGAACGGAACCCCAATCCGCAGCATTTCCCAGGACGCGCTCTCAAACGTACCCCTCCTTGCTCCCTTCGGCCGGCGAACCTGCTGGGATCTCCAGGAAGAGGCTGTCCCCCGAGAGCACCGTGTCCCAGAAGGCCGAGCGGCGCTCAGTCAGCTGGTAGTGGAAGCGGAGAAGAGAGGGTCTCCCGCTGACCGGGGAGGCCTGGGTCACCGTCAACCTGTCATCCTGCCGGGGGGAAACGGCAAGCAGACGGGCTCAGTCCAAACCTTCTGGTCCAGATTAAGAACGGGTTGACAGCGAAACACAGGAAAACGACAAAGAAACTGGCAGGGAGGGCTTTAGCGTTTCCATTGATTGGATTCAAGCTTCTGTTTGTTTGCACTTTGAATTCAGGTCAAGTCTACCAATCGTAGGGCCAGGAATCTTTATTCTTTAATTATCAGAACGAAGTCAATACTAGAAGGACAGAGCACCAATTTATAGGAGCTCAAACATAAAGATTTCAAATGAGAAAAGTTGAGAATCTTGTGACGTTTCATTTGATATCAGTTTTCCAGACAATAATCTTTTGATGTATCAGCATCTAGTTATCAGCAGTGGGAGTTTGAAATGATTGTGCAGACGACTATTTCGAAAGAGTTACTTGCGTTAGACCCTGATAGCCAAACGTTTCACTCACTGAAACAACATTTTTCTCGTTATTTTAAAATGGGTTTTTTTGGGTAAAATTGTGTCTTTCTGCAAATGATAATTTTCTCATGATTAAAAAAAAAGATCATTGCCTGACCCTAATGCTGCGTCGTATGACTCTCAGAATAAAGTAACAGCCACTTGTGGAAAGTATTTTTTGTAAACGATGTTGCATTCAGTTATAAAAATGATGTAAATGTATATATTAAATACGTCTAGGGAAAAAAAGTGTAATTCTTGATTTAAATGCATTGGCATTAGGTCTCTGTCTCTTTGAAAATTCCGCCTTTTTCTGAAACTCCACCTCCAGGAAGTCATCACAACGTGGCTCCTCTATTAACCCTTTAATAACATCTTACCAGCGTTTCACTGTCAAGTAGTTCATATGAGCTCGCACAGTTCCACCGCATGTTTGCTAATTGCTGCTGGCTAGTCTAGAGGAGCTGAATCTGAAGCTCTGAAGAGGAGCTGCATCTCGAAGGCCCAAACAGGCGTTTTGCACAGCTGAATGGTTACGATGGGAGAATAAAGGATTTCTCAAATATGCATGGAAGAATTAAGGTAACTCTCCGGGTATGTTTTTGATGAGGGAATAATAATGTGATGTAAAGCACAGGTGTCAAACTCCAGTCCTCAGGGCCACTGCCCTGCAGTGTTTAGATGTGCCACAGGTACATCTAAATACTGGATTGAAATGGCTCGATTTCCTCCTCCTTGTGTAGATCAGTTCTCCAGTCTTAATGACCTAATTATTTTTTTCAGGTGTGGTGCAGCAGAGGCACATCTAAAAGTTGCAGGACGCAACCCCTTGAGGACTCGAGTTTGACACCACTGATGTAAAGCTAAAAAAAAAAGAAAAAAGAAAAAAAGGTTGGTTTTACATGACACTGTCTCTTTAAAGATGAAGTCAGTCATTCCAGTTACCTCACCTTGTGTAGTAGCACGGTGTGAGAGTGATCCCTGACCGTCCCTCGCCCACCCGGGATCTTCAGCTGTGGGTGAGGGGCATCAGGAGCACCACAGAGGCCCCGGAGCCTGAGGGATAGAGCTGGGCTTCAAGGCCCCCGATAACCAAGAACTGCAAAGAAAAAAACGACAACAAAAAAAACAAAACACAGATGAACCACTTTATGTCTCACAAAGCTTTGGAAGCAAAGTCTTCAAGCAAAGTCTTTACATTAAGAACATTGAAGCTTCGCAACAGAAGAAAAAAAAATAGCCACACAAGCTCTGAGCTAAAATGACAACTGCAGTAAAAAGAAAAGGTTATGATTAATAACAGTAAATTGAAATATAATAATATTTTCAAACAACAAATCAACTACTTCCTTTTTTTCTGAAGGCATTTATTTTTATTTGTGGGGAAATATGAAAATAGCAACTATTGCAATGACAATAATAGTTCTTTGTTTTCTTCAACATCCTTTCTGAACTTCAGTGGATTAATCACCCACATCTTCATCAGGCAATACAAGAGAGTGGACGTCTTATGTGTGGATTCATGTGGACAAAAACTTTTCTGAAAGTGATCTTGTGTGTGTTTGTGTGTGTGTATAAACAATTTGAGGGAAATATTTGTTTTTATAAAGACAGCTATTTGTGAATGAGATTTGATACGAGATAACTACTAAGTATGAGACCAAACAGGAAGAACCTGTTTCCCAAGAGGTATATTAGCTTCTGATTTACAAAGTCTTATTCTGTGAATTCAATTTTTAAGTTTTGTTTACTACTTACTATGTTGTGACAGTTCGAAAGCAACTTTTTACCCAAGCCCAAGATCTCTCTATTAAAAGTAACTTGCATGTCTAAAGTTCAGGGTTATGTCTTGCACATAGTTTGAAGTAGTTCTTATCCAACCAATTACAGAACTTTTTTTTTGCAAACAATGGTGTAATGTACACAAACTGTTCAATTTATTTGTAGCGAGTTTCAGTTTGTTTACAAGTAGCCCGGCAGACATGAAAGACTAGGATTTATTATGACTGCATTTCAAAGAGATCCAAATGGCCCATGCATGTGCTGCGAGGCACGTATCACAAACGAGCGCCTGATCTGTAAACACCTCTGTAAATAGCTTTGAGGGCTTTTTGGGAACACCTCTGCGTTTTGAGTTTCAGACGGTGGCTGGAAGCAGCCGGGGCGCGGCACCTTTACCGCATCATCACAGACACTCTGCATGTTGTGGATTAAACTGTAATCGGTCAACACAAACTCATTCAGCAACAAGCCGCCTGACTCTGTTCTGTCTCACTTTCCAAGTCACTTTGACTTGGGCCGTCAGAATGCATGAATATGCCATGACATCAACCAGTACCATTGTTGCTCCGGCTGTTAGTTTAGGGGTTTTGGAATAAAGGGAGTTAAATATAATAGCAAGCCATACTTCCACTTCGCAGAATACATGCTACTTTGTGTTGGTCTATAGCTAAATGTTCCCTAAAACAACAAAGGTCAAGGGGTATTAGAGTGCACCATGATGCATTCCTCTCTGTCTAAAATAACCTGAAATAGAAACTTTGGACAACAATCTCAACAGCCAAACTGATATCAGGGACACCAGTGACAAGCTGTACAACTCAGATGGATGAAGCCACCCGAGAGCTCGCCAGCATGTCCAGACCTACTTCTCCGGTTCCGTCTTCCCTTTCAGAGACAGAGACCGTCCTTGATGGAAATGCCAGGTTGTTTTGAAAGGCAAAACTCTCGTCGTCCTCTGACATTTCTGTCACACTCTTAGGAACCCATCCCCACTCTCCCATAGCGGCTGCAGACATCAGCCACCGCCCCACCACACTCAGCGAGAGACTCTAAAAACGGAATGTAGGTTACATATTCAAGTCTGACTTATGGAGCGACAGGCTGTACCGTTGTGAAGGCCAAGCACATTCACAAGCTGCATTAATATGCCAGTGAGGATTTAATCAGCTGTGTGTTGGGAGTTGAGACCGAGAGATGCCAAGTGCGTCACTGTCTCGTTGTGCAAGGGGGAGGAGAGAGAGGGGCGAATGCTTCCACCGCTGGGCTGCTCTTCCTGAAGCCGAGAGTTTTTTTGAGCTCTGATTCAAATTGGATCGGTTCGGGGCGTGAATGGAGAGCCGGGCAGCATAGAGCTGGGCATGGGGTTCAAAGACAAAGAGAAAACATTAATGACGTGTTCTCTGGAGGAGGGGAAGAACGTAGGTGCACGAGACCGGACATCAACTGGTTTGTGAACAGAAACAATTTGATGTTTCAGGACAGTGCTTTGGATTTAGCACAAACGACAAAAGGTGGCGCACACAGGAAAGAAAACAGAGACTGAACCAGGCCTTCTCCATTCCACGGACAGAGAGCCGGGCAGCGTGACGGAAAAGACACGGAGACAGAAACAGGAAAGGTACACGTGCTGTGAAACCTGAGCAGGGATGGACGTATTCCTGTCAAAACACATGACTCTGACCCCTGGACCCACCTTGGCGCCGCTCGACTGGTCAGACACAAACAAGTCCACATCATCTGGAACTCAACTACGCAATCAACTACGCAACATTTTGTACAACTGACTCAAATTTGTCTTGAGCAGCTTTTGATGCATTTAAAATGGATGGAGTAAAACAGAAGCTCTGGCTGTATGGTTTCAGTCGTCAACCAGAGTTTCAATAAGAATATTGTGGTGAGAAGCGCCATGTTATAGCAGGACGTGGTTGTCCAACCAATGGCGCAACAAAAAAACTGAAAAAATATTATTAATGACTTCTTACGGTTTTTATTATAATAATTGTTCTGTATCTTCATTTCTTTGCATTTGACAAAATTGTAAAGCTAACCTTATTTTGCCATTAGCTTAGCTTTTTTGACCAGTCGGTCAATTCTGGTGCATTTACAGAAATGTTCATTTATGTGCACTGGCCCCATCAAATGAATAAAGACATTTCAAATTTCAACATAGGTTTCCGAATAGGGATGGGTATTTATTGTAAAAAAATTCTCAAAGAAATTTTGATTTGTCGCTGCTGTGATAAATTTAATGACAAAAAAGACAACACAACTGACAATATGAATGGCAAAAATGACAAAATGTCATTTTTGCCATTCTCTCCATTGTTTGTTTCACAAGAACATCTTTAAATATCAGTCAATTCAAAAATATGATTAAATCCAGTTACTGTGTGCAGTTTAGTGAAACAAATCGTATCTTCTAAGTAAGTTGAATCTTGAAGATGTTTTTCCAAGAACAACATTTGTGTTTTGTGGTGCTGTTAATGTTGTGCCATGCAGTCACAGTCACCTAAAAATGTAACAAATAGTTTGCCATCTTTATGAGCACCACAACATATTGCAATAAAATTCCATATTTCCCACTCCTAGTTCTGACTAAAAAGCCAAGCGATTGGAGGATTCTCCAGAACACTGATCTGCGACCACGCAGACCAACATCAAGACTGACGATTCCAGAGTCAGACGTCAGCTGAAACTGCTCAGCACAGTTGACGTCCAAGTGCCCTGATGGAAAATTCAATCCTGAATCTCCCGGCAACGGCTGAGGCGCTCCATCTGCCAGTGAATTAGAGGAACACCAAGTAGCACTCAGCTAGCCCAGGACAGATCATTTATCGTACCCAGTGTGTAACGAGCCCCGGCACTCGTCCCTTCAACACACACATTCCAGTGATGGTTTGAAAGGTGACCCGTCAGAAAGACCGGGGTTATATAATCAGCTAATGTAGGCCAGTAGCTGCCTTCAGCAGACAAGGTCATAGCAGCAGAGCAAATATAGTCGCAGCATCAATTTATCTTCTCCACGCTGCTCGCTGCAGGTCAGGACATTGACCCATAGAAGACAAAAATAAGACCTCTGATTGGGAATGCAGAAAACAAAAAAAAAAAAACAACAGGCTACAATTCAATTTGTTCACTCATCTTAAATTGACACGGATTTGTTTCTATGAATGAAATGAGCTGTAAGCCACGTACTAAAGACAAACGCTGTGCAACACTAGTTGGGTTTCCATTACAAATCTGCCATAAAAATTGTTGGTATTCCACTAATGTTGAAAAGACATAATTTTGCAATTGTGGGGTCTCCATTAAATAAGAAACGCAATTAAAAATGGCAAATGAATATGTTTATTCATGCGCTAATTCAAGAACAAACTCATGAATTGAGTTGGAGTCTGATACCGTGCCGTGGTTCTCCAACTCCTTGCCTTCGGTTGTTTTGTGCCAGTGGCAACATCTGGTTGTTGATCACGTCACGAGACTTGTGTGATGTGAAAAAAGTCTTTCCATATCAAAATAAACCAATTCTGATACAGTCTAAAAACACACTTCATCCAAGCACCAAAACCATTTATCAAGTTTTTTTATTATTATTATCATCTTAAGTGCCATGTTTTCATTGAGTGAATTTATTTCTAAATGTCAAATTGCACAATTGTATGGTCAATGGAAACACAGGTAGTGGTGCACCAAACGTAACACCTTGGTGCACCACTACCTGTGTGCACCACAGCGTTTGACTGATACGAGTCATGTTGCTACAAATGACTCAGGCACAGTGCAGGAATGGTACAAGCCTGAACCTATACCAAGTTTGATTACAGTCTGCCCACGAGATTACGCCGAGAACATCATCTTTCAACTGCCAGAGTGCCTTTCTGCAAAATCCGGTAGTAAGAATGCCAAAACTAGAGATTTTAGACATCCATGTCTGAACCTCAAACACCACAAAGATGTTCTTTCGAATCAAACGCCCTATTCAGTGAACTACAAAACTTCTACTTCTCATCATTCTAAACAGCTAATAGGAGAAAAACGTTTTGGTCACCATCTTTTTCCAGCACCAGAAATGTTTCAAAATAAGTCAATGGGAGTAGAGAGAGTATTTTCAATGACATGCCTGCGGTTTGTTCAGGCCGACAGCTCAAGAGCGCAAGACTTCAGCAGATAACAGGAAGTAAAGATCCGCCGCGTCCTTTTGAGCTTCCGTCTCTCGTGGAACATCCAGCATTTGGGAATGCTGGTCGAATTTTAGAATTTCTCAAATAATTATTTTTGGGGGGAATTACACATGGACACCACCTATTTAAAATGCCATATCTAATTTTGCCTTTAGTTTTGCACACCATGACTCCTCTTTAACTCATTTGAAAATAACTTCTTACCACATCGGGCAGAAAGACTACAAAGAAATGATCAATGCTGTTCTTTTTCTTCTTATTTGTCTTGATGGGATTTTTGCTACAACCTGGAGCAACAAGCAGCTAAATAACAATAATAATCATTTTTAAAAATCAGACATCGGCCAGAAAATTCTGATCGACACGCTGCTACGTCACTCGATTTTTGGGGTCCAATTTAAGTATTTTTTTCTTTCATTCATATGCATGTATGCTGTGTTGTTAAGAAATGGGTTGATGAATTAGAAAGAGTTCATCATGGTAGAGCTGGGCATCAGGGTTGCTGTGTTTTATAAATCACTGGAAACCATTTCAACTGGAGACAAAACTGGAAACCGTTGCAGTGTGGTTCAGAGCTCTGTCTTTACGGCACACTGAAAACTAAAACTAGATCTCCTCCTCTGTTCATCCCTGTTGGTGACAGTTCCTTCCTCCTCGGACTTTAACTAGCTTCTTTGTTTGTGAACAGCGCCTCCAACCATTTGTCCTGTTTACTTTGAGAGCGACAAACGAGTTCAACAACTTAATAGCTTGCTTAGAAGTTAACGACACTAAAAAAAAAAACACGGGGTCGACCCGGTCAAAAACAGCGGTTAACCCATAGTCACATATTTCAGTGAAGGAAAAAACAACAACACAACGAACAACTTCCTACCTTTCCTCTGTGTTCAGCATGATAGCTTCGAGGAAACTCGGCTCTTTACGTCCTTTTTGACAACCGGAACAGCTGGGGCTCAACAGGAAGTCCACAGATAAGTTAACCATCAGCAGGTTGAAGCAAACTTCGTCGGTAGCTCAGCGTCGTCGTCGCTTGTTTAGGCGAAGGGGCGACAAGCCTTACATCACTCAGCTGTTCGCTCGGTCTGTCGCGAGCCGCGCAGGGGCACTGGCTTTTAAAGCTGCAGCAAGGCATCATGGGTAATCCACCTCGGGCTGTTTTTTTGTTGTTGTTTTTGTTTTGTTTTTAATTTGGCTTCCAGGAAATCAAAACGTACAGTGAAAGGTTCATTTCGTTTCAACTGCCTCAAGACAATTGATGTCAACAGTCTGTTTTTTAATCATTTGTGCAAAAAAAAAAAAAAAAAAAAAAAACAATGAATAAATAAATAATAACGGGATAGTTCGGGGTGGTTTTTTTTTAGCTGAGAGGTTCATCTCAAAAGTTTACAAGCAACTAATTTGTTGCTTTTCAGAGCAGTGGCCAAAATAAAAAATGGAAGAGGCTCGTGACCCTGACTGTTGCTTGAGCGTGCAAGTCTTCATACCGAATCAGATAAAAAGTGGAACAATGGCAAACATTCAGCATCAACAGCACTTGTATTGACCAATATATTGCTTTTATTAGTTTCAAAACCTGTTTGTTTGTCTTTTTTTTTATTGCATAGCCTTTATTGTTACTGTTTTTAGGTATGTAGGTAATTATCTGGACCTCAGCTTTGAGTAAAAAAACCACAGTAAGAAGAAGGATAAAGTTTTAAGATTTGGAGCGTTGATCAGCATGGTGGTGGCAATATTATGCTGTAAGGCTGTGCTTCATACAAACCAAATATTACAGGTGGTGTGTGCTTATTAATAAGGCCTTGGGTGTATAATTTTTACGAATGCTAATTAGAGATAATCTAATGTCAAACATCAGATGTGAAGCTGTTCTTTCAGAAAAATGTATCATTTTAGGCTAAAAATTTATTAAACTTAAGACAGGAGTAGACGTTTTCCGCATCTAATTTTTCCTGACAGTTATCTTGACATCACAATGTGATTTGTGTGTGTACTAAATGAGATTAGCGCGTGCACACACACTCACACACACACACACACACACACACACACACACACACACACACACACACACACACACACACACACACACACACACACACGCACCAATCATTGAGATTAACTCGGTCACTTTAGAAACCCATCAGGAAAATAAATTTGTTATCTCCAGAAAACCATCATGGAATGAAAGTTTCAAGAGTTAAAAATCTCTGAGTTGTTTCTCAAAAATTTCTGAGGTTAATCCAAAAATTTCAGGGTTTTTTCTAGCAAATTTTCAACATTTCAAGCTTAGAAATTTCCTTGTTTGTTGTGAGTTTTAAATAGATTTTCTGAGATTAACCTCAAAATTTCTGTTTTTCCTAACCTATCATCGACCTTTCAAACTCAGAAACTTCATTGTTGTTTGTTTTTTTGTTTTTTTTTGAAAATTAAAAACTAAAAATTCTGAGCTCAATCCAAACAATTTTTGAGTTTTGTGGCAAAAAGGTACATCGTTTTTTTTTTTTTTTTTTTCCACAGTGGCTCTAGTATGCCATCATAGAATACAAGTGTATTAAAAAAAAAATTTTTCAGAGTTTTGCTTTATTTATTTTTTTTAGGACAACAGAAAGTTAGAAGAATTATTTCAAAACTGAGCATAAGTTTTATTTTTTTTCCTGCACTGACCCCATAAAGCCTCTCATTAAACCTGCTATCAGTCTCACTAACATCCCACTTGAACTCCTGCTGATTAATTCATCTCGCGAAGAGCGATAAAAGGTCAGGTGCCGTTCACACCTTCACCACCTGGTCCTCCCTGACCAGCCTGAGGCGGCCGGCCGGGTCACCGGCCTGCGCCGCTTTCAGCCCCGTCAAGGCGACACGTTGAAACGCGGGAGACGGTTTGGTTTTTATGGCTTCTCCTTCAGCTGCTGCTCTGCAGGCTGGTTGTAAGACAGTTTGCCCTGAAAACAAAGATGATCAGCTTTCACCTGAGATTGGGCTCAGGTTCTGATTACCCACAGCGGAAAGCAGAGAATCAGTGCCGCATGCGTTCTTCCCTGGACACAGGTCTGTGTATTCACTGTATTTATTTCACCACACTTCACAGATAACTTCACACAACAGCATGCAGCTTCTACGTGAGTGCTTTTGTCTGAGTGAACAGCAGCTGCGTTTCCATTAATCGTAGAACTGAGCGAATTGAAATTCTGAAAATAAATTTGCTTAATGGAAACGCAGCAATTCCTAAAACGTTTCTTCCGTATTTAAATAGATCTAATTTTGCAAAATGGAAACTTCTTTTTTTTTTCTTGCATCACATGAGTCATACGATCAACAGCCGGACTTACTACTGTCGGAGAATACAAACAAGAAAACAACAGGAAGTAATTGGAGGACAACAGTTTATTGTGTGATCTAAAAAACAACTAAAAAAAGCACTTAGCTACCACTGCATGCAGATAGAGTGCAATATTTTAAAATGTATAAAGAAAGCGCATAATATTTTTTACTGCTCACATTGAATTAAATAAACAGTAAAATGAGAATGAAAATAGACTTCATACTTCAAATTGCATTATTTAGAAATTGGATTTTCACCATATATTCCACCATCCTGATGGATCAAACATTCAGTCTAAATCTCCTTTGATAAGAGTGCAGAAATAGCAACAACTAAATATGAAAATAACTATAAACGAAAGGTCTCTGTCTCCCAAGAAGCTCCTGCTCTTTCTGAAACTCTGGCTTCAGGAAGCCATCGCAGCATGGCTCCTCTATTAACCCTTTATTTTATGCCGGTGTTTCACTTAGAGTGAGCTCAGCTGACACGCATTCTGCCAGGTGTTTGCTAATTGCTGCTGGATAGTCTGAAGGAACTGAGTGGGTGAGTGAGTTGCAGAGAAAGTGGTGCGCAGGTCACCTAGCGTTTTTCGCTACTGCCAGGAGAGACAGACAGTATTTCTCAAATGTGAATGAAAGAGTCATAGCAAGACACCAGGTTTGTTTTTGATGGTGTGAGGGTAACATTATAACATGATGTGAAACAAAAGAAATTCAATTTTACACAATGCTGCCCCTTTAAGAGACAATGGTGTATCTGAAAGCTTCTTAATTACATGCCACACTTTTTGGATTTTTATTTTTAGATATACTTCCTTTGATTTCACAGATATTCACTCCTTTGGGTATGTTTATAGCTTGAAATATCAATGGAATTGCATTGAAATTGTGCAAAAGTGAAAAGCTTTTCCAAAGCGCTGGATGTTTTTGTTCTAGTCTTGGCCTTGCTGCTGGTTTTTCCATCATAGTTCTTTAGAAGTCAATGATGTTATGAGGCTTTGGTTTCTTTAATTAACCTCACAGGTTAATTCAAGTCTGGCCGTCAGGGACATGAGGGAGCTTCTGAAAAAAAAATACAAATAAAACTTGCTGTAATGGAGTTAGAGATGTTCAGGAAGCGTGTGTGTCGTTGAATCTGTGTTGCTGTGGAGAATCAATATTAACAGCCGACCTGTTTTAGATTTTCGTCGGCCACATTTGCTCAATGACCATTTATACTTCCTCCAAAATCCAATCAGTGCCTCCACTTCAGGCCCCTTCTGATCCTTCAGCCCGATTGGTACAGCGCATCCTCTCATTACAGGAGCAAATCCTGTAAACAGGCTGCACCCTTTTGCTAATGTTGCTGCAGATCGTTCACAAAAAGGGCAGAAATCTTGTTTTGAATGTGGACGCATCTCTGTATCTCGTTTCTCATCAAGTCTGATGCGATGTTTGGGTTTGAAGTGGTGAGTTTAGGAAAACTCAGTCAGTGCTGTGATTTACACACGCTCAGCAGGTGTTGTCCTGCGTTACATCACAAAGGTAGCTGTTCCACGAAGGCCGGCGGGTGGTAATGACCCCCTCGCGGCCCCGTGTCCTTTTGCTCGGCCAGGCAAGCTGGACCTCTAGCACACACACACGCAGATGTGTGTGTCGGGATCAAGTAGCCATGCTGCTATCTTGTTACGAATCCAATAATCTGCCTGGTGCTGGCACTGTTTTCCATTCTTCCTTATGTAACTGGGTCTATGTTCGGATCCAAGCTGACAGTCGGAGCCACGCCGGGGACAGTCAAGGACTAACAGACAGACATTTCAGGAGGCAGGACAAGACTTTTCTTTGAAAGTCTCTTCTTTACTCAATCACATTTGTTGTGTTCGGGGATTATATGTGGGCAGTATTTTGTACTTTCCAGGCACATAGTGCAATTTTATAGCATAATCAACTAGCTATGTTACCTTCAGTTATAGAAGTTTCTGTATGAAAAATGTGACTCAAAAGAAAATTGACTTAAAATTTAGCTTTACATTACTCATTGAAATTGGGCCTCTATCTCTTTAACAAAGCCTTAATCTTTCTGAAACGCCGCCTTCAGGAAGTCATCACAACAAATGTTTTTACCAGAGTTTAAAGTAGCTCCTCGAAACGCAGTTTCACCAGCTGGTTGCTAATTGCTACTGGCTCATCTGAAGGAGCCAGGGAGGGCTGCTCTGTGAGGCAGAAGTTTGGAAATTGCAGCTTTTAGGAGGAGCTTCGTCCTTGAAGGCGGAGCTAGATCCACCCAAAAAACTTTTTTTTTCCCCGAAGCATGAATGAAAGATTCCAGGTATGTTAATGATGAGGGAATAACTTTATAACACCATAAAAAGTTTCAATAAAGTATATTTTAAATAGTACTGCTCCTTTAAGGAGGAGAATCTAGTGCTGCAAGATCAGTTGTGGAAAAGAAACAATGTTCAAAATGCTAAACCGTCAAGTAAAAAAAAGTGAAAGTTGTTTATGAATTTGACCCTTCAGGGATTTCATCCACTGTGTAATGTGTGCACGGACATCTGAGGGTCCACAAAGAGAAGAAATGGAGACACATGGAGCCACTTTTGTTACATTACAACCACAATCTTCGATATATTTGAATCTTTGAGAAGTTTCTATCGTGAGAAAACGTCCTCTCGTCACCTGCAGCAGCGTGATTCACTGCTCTCCCCGCACTCACACTCAGTAGCTTCGTAAGCTGATTGTCTCTCCATAACACCCTCCATCAGAAGTGTCTCACTATTTCCTAGTAGAGTAAGCAGCTGATCTCGTCATC